CCAATGTGAGAGGTCCAAAGAATATTCAGAAGTCTACCTATCTTTCCGTAGCCTATCTCCACAGCCACTCGTCCTGAACTGTACATACATGTGCCGTAAACATGGTACCCTTGTACCCATATCAGCTTTGCCCATCCTGCCTGCGACCTTCCATTCTTCACCCGTTGATCGATGTCCGTTGATCGACGTCTCTTGTTGATCGATGATCGATGATCGAAGTCCTTCTTGATCGAGGTGTAGGGTAGGGTTCGGCTTGTGCAGCCAACTTCAACTGGGGTGTTTGCCACACCAACTGCGACACGCCTTGCACCCATCTTCCCCTTTCAATCGATCATCCGGCCTCTAGTCACCTTGATCGGAATTTTCGTAGTCGCTCCACGTGATCGCCATCACCCTTTTTAAAGCTGATGGAGCATGTTTATAGTTTTTAGGAAGTACAGTCATGAATTCGCACATCTTGGATTGTGCAAGGATTTTTGGTTTTACGGAAATGAAACGCGTCGTCCCATGTATCTTGTCGGTGTGCCGTGCTTTCTTCGGGCAACCTTGAAGGACGTGTAATTTGGTTTGCTGGTGTGTACGACGATTGCGACTTTTACGCATAGGAGCACGATCAAATAAATCTCGTTGACGTTTGGTCTTCTTATAAGGAGGGTTTTTACATGCATGAGCACTAAATTTACATATTCGTCAGTGCTGTAGACACTATCTGTTCCCCAATCAATGATCGGAGTCATCTTTCTTTTCCAAGCCACTCCCATCACGATCTCACAGTCATTAGGAAGAAAGCACACATTTAATTCGTAATCGAATCCAGTCATTTCATCAACAAAAATACTGAGAAATATAGTTTGATTAGGAATGCTCTCGGATTGACCATTCCCGAACGTAACTTGAATGTTGCCTCGGTCTACCACATAATTATCCAGGTTGTTCCGTTTGACGAATGCTTCACTAACACCACAAAAATCGGCTCCTTCATCAAAAAATGATTTACGTCGAAATACCTGGTTGTAGCATACCCCTCCGACTTCCTTGACCAGGTAAGTACTGCAATCCACTTCTGGAAAAACGGTTTAATTGAAATATTTTACCAGGGTCAAAGAGCCATGCCACAAGATGCTCATTGGCTATTGTTTGTCCTGGGATGCCCACCGCAGGGCATTCTAGTTTAAATCTGTCTTAATCTTAGCCAGACCTGTCTCGATGATTGCCAAAGCGTCCCAAGTTTTCTGGTCAATCTCCGTAGATTTAGCCAAAGGTGTCGATGTGGTGAAGCGAATTGCAGCTTCGCAAACCACCGAGCTTTCAAGGCCAACTGGCACAAGAGCTTTCGGGGAAAGTTCACTTCATACCGTGATTGGTTGATTATACTTCCCGTGTCCTAGTGACGGGGTCACTCTTGGAACCGTTCGAGTCCTCAGCCATCCTAATATAACCTGGCTGAGGGTTATTTCGGGCTATCCTAAATTAGGATTATATGCCTAATTTAACCGAGTGCTCGTTCAAGCGAGCCCTCGGTCGAGTCCGGAATGATGGTGAGGTCGTCCCTACGTGAACCCTCGTTCGGTAGATGTTGGTAGAGAGAGTCGGCTGGGAATTGTCCCACAGGATCTGTTTACACTTGATTTTAGTATAGGAATATGACTCATCGGTAGATGGGCTGTAGAGAGGCTCTCAGAGCCTCATATTATACAGAAATAAAAAGTAGTTCTCCCCCACAGCTAACAAGGGTCAAGTCCGTCTTCGGTAAGTCTAGATAGCTTATCTTAGGCCACGATACGCCTGGTTGAGTGGATGACATACCCGAAGTACATTGAACCAAGGGTCTGTCTGCTAGGCAAGGCCAAGAGGAGAGTGTGGCCGTCTATAGAGCGACAAGGAGAGTTCGTTCTGTGTGTTTGTGTGTTGACCGAAGGTTCTCACACGCCTTAGGCTTATCTTGAGCCATCTCTTGGTCGCCGTCGCGCGGTGATCTTCATCGTTGCTACTCATCCCGGGCCGGATGACTGCTGCCACTCGACGATCTCGTCCCGCCTCCTTCCTCCGACCCTGGATCACCATCTTGCCTTGACCTGGGATCGCCTTTACCCTGTGTGTCTAGATCTGTGGTAAGCGCGGCTCCAATGTTGCCATCTTTCTTCAATCAATATCTGCTGATCCGCCACAGTCCCGGATCGCCGGTCAACAGCGACGCATGTCCACCCACTCCCCTTGATCTTGTATTCTCGCGGCACGGTATGGGTATCGTCGTCATCCATCATTCCAGGGTTAATCTTGGGTCATCCGAAGGCAACATCACTCACCGGCGTTGTGGCACGCTGGATCTTGGAGAGGTGACTTGATGTCTTGGCTTGGGATGGGATTTATATCGTCTCTATCTCGCGATCTGGCAGCCGAGATTACCTTTCTCGTGAGATCTTGACCGTACTTCACCACATCCGCCCTCGGCCTGCAAGTTGGACCGTCCTGGTTCATTTTAGGTCTCATTCCACAATTCGCCGACTCGGACGCAGCCTTCAGCCAGTCAGCCCCATGCGTCAGTCAGGCAGCGACCCCGGGAGTCCCCCAATTCCGAGTCCTCCCGACTCTCCGCAGTCAACCGGAAGCAACCGATCGAGCCAGTCCACTATCTCGCGTCACTCACGCTCCCACACCTCCGATCAGGGTCGGCGATTAGCCACCTTGGAGGCCGAGCTCCGCCGGAGCAGCCTCGCGCGTGACCGCCTAGTCCGGGATCGAGATCATCTTGATCTGCAAGTCCGCCAGCTTCGATCCGACATCCGGGACATGGAAGTGTTCCAGCACGGCCAACGAGACGAGATCACCCGCCTAGAGGCCGAGATCTCAAACCTCGCCCATGACGCCGATGACGATCCTGAAGTCCTCCGCACCCACGTTCTCCAACTTCGCACCGAGCGTAACGACTTCGACCGTCACGCGATTTCCGCCCGTGAAGATCTCCATCACGCCGAGGGCGATCGTTTTCGCCAGGATGCTAGCTTCGGGAATTGCAGGAGCAGGTTCGCGGTTTGGAGACGACGCCAAGTCCGATCAGCCACAGCACTAGCCAGCTACAACCGGATCTCCACCAGCCTCGCCCATCAACAGCCAGATCGCGGAGGGAGATCTCCCCTCGGGGGTTCTGCCTGTCTGGCGCAGGCAGATCGGGATCGAGCGCTGGCAAATCTCGCGCTCGTCCGCGCGACCCTGACGCAGGTCACCTCCCATCGAGATCTGGCCTTCACGCAAATCGCCCAGGTTACTGAGGATCGGGACCTTGCCGATCGCGGTACAGCTCTCCAGCTTTGGGATCAGGCGATTGCCGAACGCGATCAGGTTCGCATGGACCTCCTCTCCGAGGCTGCTCGGGTCGCCCAACTGGACGATGACTCGAGGTGGCTCGCCTGGAGCTTGAGGGATGGGAGGGCAGGATGGCGGATATCCAGCTTGCCCACGACCAACTAGGCGGATTGCGAGATCTAACCGAAAGACCGAAAGTGATCTGACTGAGGCCGATCGGCTTCTCACGCACCTCGCTAGCCGGATCCGAGAGAGCCAAGCGGCCCGGATGCAGAAACGTGATCGAAGTCCACCCAGTTCTCCTCCCCGATTACCGTCTCTCAAGATTCCTCGCAGCGATCGGCCTACTTCTCCGCCGCCCGACCTAGATAACCCCGAGATCGAAGGTCCCGAGGGTGAAGAACTCGAAGATAAGCGCGAGATCCCAGGCGGAGGTGGAGGCGATGATATTCCCCCTTCTTCAGATAATGAATCCTCGACTCCTCCTCCCTCACCTCACGGATCTCCCGGAGGAAATCCAGGTGGTGGTCCCCTGATGGTGTTTCACCTCTCCAACTGAATCCGCCGTTTTTTCCTGCCGAGGCGAGGGTTCCCTAACATTCCACGGTCAAGATATTCACGGCAGCCGAGATCACTCCGTGGGATCCGTCTATCGTGGGGTCCATACCGATCATCGCCATGGTTCAGTCCACTTTGACCAAGAGGTTGCCGATCCCGCCCGGCTTCCTGTTCCCTGCTCGGACGCCCTTCGTACGCCTTTACTTCGTACTCGTCGGCTCCGAGATCTGGAACCCAGCTATCCTCCGACAGGATCTCATCGAAGTCGAGGCGATCCGATTCGTTCACCGTGAGTTCTATTCGCGGCCGATCCGGAAAGTCCTTTGCCAATTTCAGCTTCGACATGTGAACTACTGGGAAGATCTGGTACCCAGTACCCGCGATCTTGAGCTTGATGGTAAATTCGTTGATCTTTTCAGCAGCCCGGTTGGCCCATGCCACAGGTGAGCCAATTTCAGCGAACGTATCCTTCCTTCACCCGATCTAGATATAACCAGATGCGAGATCCGACCTCGATCCGGTGTGATCCCACGCCCTCATGATGTTGGCTGGCCCGATCTGCAATGGCTTTCCCTCAATCTGGCGTTGACTTGCTCCCGAGACTGCTGATAATATCGCTCGACTCGATATCGCCACCGCCGCGGATCTCGATCGCGCCGCCTAATACATCCGACTGGCAGTGTAGCCTCCAACGTTGACCTCGGTTACCACCCATGCCCCAGATAATGAGGGGTATCCTCTCAGATCCGATCGTGCGGCCGTGTTGATCGCGAAGGTAAGTCGCTCGGCATACTCATACCAATCGTTTTGATCGAGATCGCGAACGTACATCATGAGCGCCCTAGTCGCAGTCTGCACCATTCTTTCAGCGATCCTGTTGGCTTGCGGCCGATATGCCATCGTCGCTCGCTGCCGTTGTCCCAGGATCTTGTTAAACGCCCGGAAGCAGTCAGAACCGGGTTCTCGATCATGCCGGATCATCTCGCCGGCACCGAATCGCCGAAATTCACACTCTTCATACGATTCCGCGACAGTATGGGTCGACCGGGACGAGCTAGCTTTCGCGACCACGTATCCTGTGAACAGATCGACCCAGGTCATTAACTCAGTATTCCCCTTGTTGGGATCGGGGCAACGACGGTATATGATCCATGGCAATGATCTGGAACGGGTACGTCGCCTGCAAGTTCCCCGGTGATTCACCCCGGATCACCGGTTTTCCTTTTCCCCCTTTCACAGTCCACGCATTCCCCCACATATCGCTGAACGCTTCGATATAATCCTTTCCAGTGGAAGTGATCCCTGATCCGCTGGTAGGTACGCCCCATTCCCTGATGTCCTCCTTCCAGCGTAGTGTGATAGTGGTGCAGGACGTCAGATTGCAGCGTTTCGGGCACCACCAGTCTCAGCAATCGATCGCGATCGTCCCCCGATCTTGGGGTGGGTGGGCAATAAAAGAGTAGATCCTGCTCATCCACCTCATAGTCGGACGCGGACTTGCCGTACGACCTTGCTTCTGATTGTGTGAGGTCGGCGATCGAGCCACCCAGATATTTCTTCATTCCTGCGATCCAGACTTCCTCCTCCTGGGACTGCCTGATCCGATCGACCCGCATCTCCCGGATCAGATCCTCTTGCATGACTCCCACGGGTGATCTTACTCGAGAAGCTCGGGAGGTGACCGCTGCAACCCGCACCACTGGGTTCTCGGTCCTGGGAATCAGGATTTTGTCCAACCGGTTCAGGGTGATCAGGTCTTCTTGGTACTCGGACCCTCACTGGTTCTCGATCCCGCCTTGTCGTTGCAAAGCGGCACTCGCTAGGCTGTCGGCACTCCCATTCCAGTCTCTCTTCACATGTACTAGTTCGTGATCGCTCCATTTCCTCAGGCGATCGAGGGCCTTCCGCTTTAATAGCGTCACCCCGGGTGCTTTGCAACCGATCTCGCCCCGTACTTGTCGGATCACTAAGTTGGAATCACCGCAGATCACTAGGCGCTTGTGATCTAGGTCCTCTAGCATGGCGAGTCCCAGGATCAGGCCGTTGTATTCTGCCTCGTTCACGGCGAGACTCTCGAGATAACCCGATCTAGCTTTGACCACCTCCCATCCGTGCAGACTCCACACGATCGCGCTGAACGCGCCACCGCCACGCTTCACTCGAGCTGATCCATCAAAACTGACCACCCATAATTCCTCTTCTCGATCCACGGTGAGTATCGGCGTTTGGATCCGGCGTTTAGGTTCCTTCCGAGGGGTGATGTCGGTTAGAGAGTCGTCTATCTTCGCTCTCGGCTTGATGCTGGAGGCGATCGCCCCCAGTATCTCGTCCTCGCCCTTCGTGCACTTCGTGACCTCGAGAGTCCACGGGGCCAGGTGGGCTGACCATTGCCCTAGGCGACCCTGTAATCCTGTCGACTTGAACAGCCAGGCTAACGTGGAATGCCTCGTTAGGACCCGGATCTCGCGTCCCACTAATAAATTGTAGTAGAGATCCAAGATCCTCAGCAATACCAACACCTCCTTTTCGGTCACATTATAATTCAACTCGTTCGTCTTCAAGGTACGGCTGGAACGCGACCGGATGGTAGATCCTGTCGTGTTCTTGCGTCAACGACGCGGATATCGCCCAATCACTGGCATATACAATAACTACCGGCGTCCTCGTCTCATCGAAGTGGCGGAGAATTGGGGTCGTCGCGGTCTTGGTTTTCAGGGTGGTGACAGCCCTATGCGCCCTGATCCACCTCTCATCTAATGGTTCCGCCAGCCGCAGCTCCA